GCCACAAAATAAACAAAACGACAACAAAGAGAAAACCATATCACTGGATCTCACAAAATTAAACACGAGCCTGGACCAAAACAGCATAAAACGCACAGTACCTCAAAACGGGACCTCTGTGGAAATTGCAGTCTTTGCCGCCGATCAGCAGTAGAGCCTCGGCCGACTGTGTTGTTGGAGGTCTCACTTCTCCACAAAATTCTTAAATATCCCTCTCCTGCTTAACCAGACGGGGGGGGAGGGGAGGGGAGGGGGAGGGGGGAGTTGATGGCATGGGCATCCATGGTCCGATCATGGTCTGATGGTGTTCGGTCATCGCCCCTGACATGACCACCTCCATCACCTGCCTGCACCTCACCCTCATCCGCCGCATGCTCCGCTCTGTGACAGGTACGCTCATGGCCCGTGTCGGCGGCATGCAGCTGGTGGCGACCACAGGCGCTTCGTCGCAGGTGTTGGCTCTCGAGCTTGCGCACGCCGACGACGTGAGCGGGAGCTCGGGTGAGCCGCTGACGGGCGCCATGTCGGCGACCTCGAGCGAATGGCCCGAGTGGGAGGTCAGCGAAGATGTGCTGAGCGAGATCGGAGCTATGTGGGTCAATGCCTTGGACAGAGGCCCCGATCCGGTTGGCCTGGGTCGGGAGCACTGCCAAGTGTGTACTCTCCTGCCACCAGACGTGGTGCTCGATCTCTCGGTCCCGCGGGTGACGGATGCGATCGAGTCGTTTATGGCCGCGCACGAGGGAGTCCTGCACATGACGCCAGATCTGGACGCGGTCGATGCGGCCGCAGTGCCGCTGCCGGACGAGGTTTTGGTGCTCTCGGGCTCGTTCAATCCGCTGCACACTGGCCATCGCGCGCTGCTGAATGCGGCACGCGAGGTGTACCTGGCCCGCGACGGCGCGCCCACACAGGTTTGGGCCGGCTACGAGCTCGCGCTGGTCAATGCCGACAAGGCCCCCATCTCGAGCCGCGCGGTGCTGGAGCGACTGACTCGGTTTGCCGGCCGCACCTCTGTCCTCCTCACCACCGCCCCGCGCTTTGATCAGAAGGCCGCCCTGCTCGCGCCGTCGCGGGTGACCTTTGTGGTTGGCGTCGACACCGCCGTCCGTATCCTCAATCCCAAGTACTACGGCGGAAGCCAGGCCGGGCTGCTGGATGCCATGCTCTCGCTCGCCTCGTCGGGCGTCTCCTTTATCGTCGCTGGCCGGGTCGACGACGACTCGGGCGAGTTCATCTCGGCCGCCACCATCACCGACCCCGTCAGCCATCCTGTTGTGGCCGACCTAGAAGCTGCCGGCCACCCCGAGCTCTTCCTTCCCATTCCGGACGACGTCTTTCGCGTTGATCTCTCGTCCTCAGCCATTAGAGCTGCGCGTCAGCTGTAGCAGTCAATTTCATCAAACCATACATCACGCCGCGTGACTCGGCCGCTGGCTTGTGACGACGTCACGCGGCCGAGCCGACCTTCCACCGCGGCCGGCCACTCGGGTCACTCGTCTACCTCATGAGCACGACACGACTGCTCCACGAGACCGAGGGCGGTAGCTCTGAGAGCTATGTGTACTACCTCCGTGTGACGGCAAGCACGGGATGTGTGGTGGCTCTGGGCTCGCTGGCGGGCGGCATTCCCAAGGCCGCCCTCCCTGCGCTGGTGGTCTTCGGCTTTGGCGCTGCTGGCGGATGGTCAAACGAGCCGTCGACGCGATACAACACAACTCGGGCATTTGCTGTCATGGCGCCGCTGCTCATGGTCTTTCTCGCCATTGCCACCGTCGTCGGCATTGCTGACTTTTCCGATTGTCCGCTCTGCCTCGTCCTCCTCCTCATGGTCGATGCCCTTCTCGTCGGTGCATGGGTCTTTGCCTGGAAGGTCGCCCATCACGCTGCCGTCCAGATCGATGCCGCTCGGACGGCTGGCCTGTGGGACTCGGACGAGTTTGCTCTCGATGCTGATGACGATCTGGAGGCCGGCGGTTGGACAGCCGACCTGCCGTCGTCGTCGTCGACGACGCTCGACAACGGCCTCGGTTCACACGCCGCACGCACGCCGCCTGTCGTCTCTACCCTTGGCAGCGCCAACGCTAATGTTGACGCCGCAGCAGCAACAGCACCTTCCATCCCTCCTGCTACCCGTCCCCATCCCTCGCGCCTCCGCCTCCAGTCGCCCTACGCCGCAGACGACACTGCTGCCGATCCAATCCCCAATGATCCCGACAACATCGCCCCTTCTTCCACAACCGCTTCAGCCTCCCTCCTCCCCCTCGCCCCGCCGCCGATATCAACCCCTCCCACATAAACTCTCGGAAGTCAAGCACCGCAAAACTCCGCCTGACCGGCCTTCCCACCATCAACCACAGCGCAACAGCAAAGCAGTCACGCACCCCTCGACCGCGGCACGCTGCCCTACCCCACACCACTCCCACACCAGCCCCACCACACACACACATACACACATACACACACACACACACACACACATACATACATACACACACACATACAAGCATACATACCATGTCTGCCTCCAAGAAGAAGCCTGCCCACCCCCTCGACGCCCTCAAGCTGCTCGCCAGTGCCCCCTCCCAAAAGGTACCCCTCCACCCCCCCTCCCTTCCCTGCCCCCTCCCCTCCCCCTGCCCGCCCCACTCACCCACCTCTTGCTTGGTCACACAGGTTGTTGATGAGCTGTTCACGCAGGCGTATCGGTACCGACAGGACGGCATGCCGCGGACGCTCAAGGAGAAGATTGCAGGCGCCCTGTCGACGAGCTTGGCGCATGTGGACCTCCTGCACAAGGCTATTGTGGCCCTCATTGTCGAGTCTGTGTACGAGGAGCGTGCTGCGCAGGATGTGCTCCCGGTCCTGCCTCAGGACATGGAGAAGGATCTCGCTCGTCTTATTGCTGCTATCGTCGGATCGCACGTGGCAAAGTGGACAGAGCTGGCCAAGGAGGCCACCATCTCGTTGCCGAAGCTCGTCGACGTCGACTGGCGGGTCGACGTCAAGACTGCGTCGGATGCCGCCTTTGCATGGCCGAGCCGACCGTCATTGTCGAAATGACCGTCCAGGAGGAGGCCAAGCGCGCCGGCGCCATGTTGGGCGTCCACCGCGTCAACTTTGAAATGTCGCGCGAGACCGTCGCCACCATGCTCGACGGCCTCGGCAAGATCCGCGACCAGCTCGCCTCTATCAAGTCCATGACCGACTGAGTCGGCTCTCGGCCTCTACTCGCCAGTCTCGACCTCGTCCACCATCTCGTCGAGGTACACCCCACGCGTCCGCGCGGTCAGAACCTTAAAGTGCGCCGACCGCAGCGCAGCCACCTCGGCGCACGCCATCTTGGTGAGGAGCCACTCGCGAAAGTGTGGCGACGTCGAGTCGTACACATCGCTCGGTGCGTCCGGCCACTCGTCCGAGCGGCAGACTCGGCCGAGCCCGGGTGTGTACTGGCCCGTAAACGCGTGTGCAACATGGATGCGGAACCAGCGGTTCGGCGAAGGCGCGCCTTGCGCTGGTTGCACCGCCACAATGACGTGCGTGAATCGGCAAACCAGTGTGTCGGCCAAGTACGCGTCCACACCCTCGTCAAGGAAGACCAGGAGCACCACGTCGTTGCCAACGTGCCGCTTGCGGAGCAGCTGTTGATCAGAGTGCTGGTCGTGCGGCAGCAGCGGCGCGACGTGGAACATGATCTCTTCGCCGCCGCAAAGACGGGCGTAGTACGAGGTCGCTCCGGTGAGGCACGCTTCCGATGTGTCGAGCCCACCGCGGTAGCCAGAAAAGCCCGCAAGTCCTACCTCGTCGCCCAGCCGCGCCATCAGCGCCGCCAGTCCGCTGCCGAGCTCGGCGTTGCCCAGCATCTCGCTCTCAGTCGTCTGCCCACCCGCCACTCGCAGGACGCCAAACTTGAACTGGCTCTGCTTCTCACGTACCAGCAGCCGTCGGTACTCGGTGATAACCCTGTCGGTGACTGCCACGCTGGCCGGCACTCGCTCCGAGCCAGGAAGCAGCTCGAGCTCTGGCACCAGCGCCTCCACGAACGAGCGGGCCGTCAGCGTCCGCGCTGCCCAGAACGACGATGCGTACCGCCGCAGCCGCCGGGCCACAACCACTCCGCACACGTGCCCACCGCGGTGCGAGACCATCGCCACCAGCTCGTCATCGCTCCGCGGAACCGCCACTACCACCACCCCGCCGCCGCGGCTGCTCCGCGCCACATAAACGCTTGCCACATGGGCCGCCGGGAGAATGAGCGACTCCAGCAGCTGGATCGGCTCGGTCGCCCACCACTCTGCGCTCCGGCTCTCGTCGTAGCTCTCGTCCGACCACGCCTCGGCGAGCCACTCGCCGACCGGCACAACCAGCGTCCCGCCGCTGCACCCCAGCTCGTCGACCGCCATGTGGCGGACAGCAGGCGCGCCGGCGCGGCTGCTTCCCTCACCCCGCGCGACGTCCACAATCACCTCCATCACCACGCCATCGCCGCGTCCCGCCTCATCGCCGCTCTCGTCGCCGCCCCACCACGACTTTGCCTTCATGGCCACCACCGACAGCAGCCCCAGCGCGCCTGTAGCCGCCGCGCCCGCGCCAGCGCCCGCCGACGGACCGGCCACGCCCTCCCCCACCTCCTCAACCGCTTCGTCGGCCACCTCACCCTCGACTTCCACATCGCCGGCCTCCTCGTCCACCATCAGCCTAGCATCCAGGGCTTCGGCGCCATTCCGGCCGTCCACCACCATGTTCGGCCTCGCGTGGTCGACCTCGGCCTCTTGAACAGGAGCCACCCGCCCCGACGCCTGCAAAGCACACATACCCAGAGCCAGACCAATCACCAGCAAGACAGTAGAGACCACAACAAGGCCTCTCTGCATACAGAGTCAGGTGGCTCAGGCTGGAGCGCTTGGAGCCGACCGAGGAAGCACCGTCGTCTCACGCCACCAACGAATGCACTCTAATCGAAATGAATCGAATGCCCTTCGATGCCCTCCAATGCCCTTCAATGCCCTCCAATGCCCTCCAATGCCCTCCAATGCCCTCCAATGCCCTTCGATGCCCTCCAATGCCCTTCGATCGGATGCCCTTCAATCGGATGCCCTTCAATCGGATGCCCTTCAATCAAATACCCTTCAATCAAATATTCAAATGCTCTCCAAAACCGCCCAACCCCCCTCCCCCCCCCCCCCCCCCCACCCCCCCAGACCCAACTCCACTCGACTCCACACGGCCAAAACGCACAACCCTCGCCAGTCACCCACCCACAGCTAGCCATGCCCGGTGTGGTCATCCATGTGCTGCGCAATGGGGACACACTGACACCGGCTCGACGTATCGTCATCAATACCTCACGGACTCGGACAAGAGATGCTCTGGTGGACGAACTGGGTCAGGCCATGGGCCTCATCAACGGCTCGGCTCTCGCCCGCTTGGCCACTCTCTCCGGCACTCTGGTTAAGGACCCGAGTGGTCTCGTCTCAGGTGCCTACTACATCGCTGCCTCGAAGACACTTCTTCATCCTCTCTCTTCCATCTGGCGATACAAGGTGCCCAAGCACATTCTCGACAAGGCGCTGTCCAAGGGCAAGTTTCCGCGACGATCGCCATCGACACGCTCGAGCAAGTCCGGTCGCGGTCGAGGAGGCGCCAGCAGCTCCGGCCGCAGCTCGCCTGTGCCACCGTCGTCGGCTCCCGATCGTGCCACGCATCCGCGAGTCGCCCGCAGGAAGCGTCGGAGCCAACTCCGCCGCGACGCCGCCCGCCATCAGCCGGTCGTCATCTGGATCTGCCGCAACAACGATGCCTTTACCGACCCGGAGCGCATTCTCTATCGCCCCGATCGGCACATGACTCTGGCGGCCTTTGTCGCCGCCTGTGAGCGCGTCCTGCCGCTGATGGAGGGCGCCGCCACGCACCTGTGCGACATGGGTGGCAATGAGGTCTATGACGTCTCGCAGTTCGAGTACGGCGAGACATATGTCCTCTGCGGTGGCCTTGTTCCGTTCCGCTTCATCGACTACCCACGCGCGCCGGTCATGAACTCATCGGCCGCGCTGGCCGCCTCTGACGCCGTCCCGCGCATCGCCCTCACCGACGCCAACACCTCACTCGACTCGTCGCGCGCGCCCACGACCTCGCTCTCGCCCACCCGCTCGCTGGTCATTCTCGTCTACAAGAACGGGGACGAGTACTTTCCAGGCATTGCGGTCAACGTGGCACAGCGGATGTTCAAGTCTATGCCGGGCTTCCTCGCCAGCCTTGCCGAGCGCCTCGACATGCCGTGGGGCGTCCGCCGCCTCTACGCCTGCCCGTCGGGCGACCGGGTCCGCAAGCTCGCCCACCTCATCAATGGCGGCTTATACGTCGCTGCCGGCAATAAGGCCTACAAGCATGTCGAGTACCCAATGCCGTCACCACTCGACGACTCGGCCTCGTTTGAGCTCGATGACGACACCATCGTCATGCCCGAGCGCCTCCGTCCGGCAACCCCCGATCGCGAGTGGCGCAACACTTCGACCTACCGCCGCCGCGCCCGTGAATGAACCACCCCACCCCCCCCCCCCCCCCCACCCCCCACCCACCCCACCCCCATACCATGATATGTGCTGCTGTTACTGAGTCTCCTCGCCACCAAACCAGAGGCCGGCTGCCACCGCCGCCGCCGCCGCCGCCACGCCCACGCCGGCCATCCACAGCTGCATCGGCCTCTCGCCGCTCGAGCGTCCGCGGCTCGGGCCGTCAAACGGCGTGCTGCCGTCGGGAGCCTCGTCGTCGCTCTCGCTCTCGCTCTCGCTCTCGCTTGCGCTCGCGCTTGCGCTCGGCACATCGCCAGCCTCTAGCACATACTTGCCTCTGCTCACAGCCACAACGCTGCTAAAGGCCGACCGCTCGCCTCCCGCGCCGAGTCCACGGACCTTGACCCGAACACCGGCCTCGTCAGGAATTTGGAACTCGTACTGCGGAAGACTGCCGGCGTAGATCAGCCGCCATCCATCGCCGGCGTCCGTCTCGTCGACGAAAAGCTCGTACTGCGTGGTCGGGACCACGCCGCGGGCCTTCCGCGCCTTGGCCAGCTTCCGCTTCCGCGCCTTGGACATGGGGGCAGCCTCGTCCCATACCAGCGTCACCTCGCCCGCGTTGGCCCGGGCCGGCTCGCTGTGCGGCTGGACCATCGGCGGCTGCGGGGCCAGCGCCCGTGGCGGAAGCGTCATGACGTCCAGCACCTCGGACGGCGCCGAAATGCCTTCGGAAGACACGCCCGCCACCGAGAACCGGTACCGGGTTCCCGGCGACAGTCCACTGATCTCAGCCGCCGTCTTGGTCGTGGTGAGGAGCTGCTCGCGGATCGGCAGGCCGGCGTCGTCGAGCCCGACCTCCGAGTACACAACATACTTGAAGACCGGTGCCCCAAAGTCGTGTTCCGGCGGGTGCCACCGCAACCCGATCGACTCTTGACCGACCGCGCCGGTCGACGCCAACGCTGGCGGCTCCATCTGCGACGGCGGCATGCCACGGAGCGTCGCCGTCGCCCGCTCCGACCGCGGCGACATCCCTAGCGCGTTCCACGCCACGCTCGCCAGCTCGAGCGACATGCCCGGTGAGAGACCGCTGACAACCACCGGCACAGGCATGGCCATGCCTGCCGCCACCGGCACCGCCGCCACCGGGGCCCAGCTCGTGTACGAAAGCACTGCACCCGACGCCAGCGTCATAGTCTCGCTGCGCTCGAGCGACGGCGCGTAAACAATGCGCGCCAGTACGTCGAGCCTCACAAACGGTGCGAGTCCGTCGCGCTCCGGCAGCGCCACACTGACCTCAACACCGCTGGCGGTCGTCTCGCCCACGCGCGGCGCCGGCGGCGGTGTCGGCGGCGGCTGTGGCGCGAGTGTCAGCCACTCGGTCCACGGCCCGCGCGGCGTCTCGCCAACCCGATTGCGGAGAGCGAGCGCAAACCGATAGACGTGCGCGTCGTCGAGCTGTCGCAGCGTTGCACACGCCTCTTTGTCCATGTACACCCGCGAGAGCGTAGGCTTGTGCTGCTTCTCGACGGACCCCGTCCGCGCCAGCGCCTCTTGATATACCACATAGGCCGAGAGCGGCGCCCGCGGATCCTGAGCGGCCGCCGGCAGCGGAGCCCAACCGAGAACAAGCGTGTCGAGGGTGACACCGATGACGCTTGGCGGCGCAAGCGGCGGTGGCGGCAAACCAGGTGGTGGCGGTGGAGTGGTCACCGCCACCTCCTGCGACGGATTCGATGCGCCGGTCGAGTTGGACGCCACCAGCGAGATCTTGTACAGCGTCGACGGGGTGAGGTCCGCAAGGCACGCTTGCCGTGCCCGCCCGGGGAGCTCGAGTCCCGGCAGGGTGTGCTCGGTCCCGTCGCGTGCGACAGCGACGGCCGAGAGTTCAAAGCTCAGCAGTGGAGCACCCTGAGAGTCTGGTGCTTCCCAGGCCACCTCGATCGAGTCGTGGGTCATGGCGGTGACAGTGACTGCAGCTGGCTGCGCCGGGCGAGCGGCGGGGTGGAGAACTTGAGCGGCCGCGACCGGCTCGACTCGCCGGCGGCGGTCACCGTTGCCACCTCCAGCGTGCCAGAAAGGCCAGGTTGAAGGCCATTGACGCGAGCGTGGCACTGCTCGGTCTCGAGATAGAGCGCGCTATTGAGGTAGACTCTGTAGGCCGAGACCGGGAGGCCACCGGTGACCAGCGGTGCGGTCCACACCATTCGCAACGAGGTCGGCGCGACTGTCCCGTCGATCTTGAGCTTGGTGGGCGGGTGGGCAACGCCAGCGGCGGTGGCAAAGGTCACCACGGTCGACGGCGGCGACTCGCCTTTGGAGTTGGATGCCACCAGCCGAAAGGTGTATTCGGTTGCCGGCGCGAGGCCGGAGACTTCGGCCGTCGTCTCGCCGCCGCGGAAAGTGGGCTTGAACGACTCAGCGCCTGCCGCCATCGAGAGGCAGTACGCCAACTCGTTGCGCGGCGCGCCGCCCACAGACTCGGGCGGGCGCCAGGCGAGGGTGAGCGCTGTCTCGCGGGCAGAGACCAGCGTCGGCGGCAGCGGCTCGCTCGGCGGGAGGATTTTGAGCCGAGCGTGGGTGATGGGCGAAAAGGCCGAGAGACCGAGCTCGTTCCGTGCTGCGCAGCGAAAGGCAAGCCGCGAGCCCGGGGCGAGGCTGTCGATGCGGATGGCCTTGCCGACGGCGTTCTTATTGGAGGCCACGGCGATGGTAAAGGTGCGGCACGCAACAAACTCGGCCTCGCCCTGTCGTCCCGACGCCGACGCCGAGCTGCCACCAAGCGAGCCGTCGTCGACATGGACAATGTACTCGGTGATGGCCTTGCCGTTGTCTGCCGGCGACTTGCCGCAGATGAACCGAATCCATGACGAGGTGAACTTGCCGACGGTGACTTGCGCCGGGGCCTCGGGCACGTCCGGCAGCGTGGTGGCATGAAAGACTTCCGATGGGAGGTAAGTGATCGGCCCCGGGGCGTAGAGCACCTCACCACCAGCCTCGGTATCATCATCAGCGCTAGCCTTGGCATCGGCTGCCACGGCGGCGTAGTCGATCTCGCCCACCACAACCAGAATGCGAAAAGCAATGGTCTGCGCCGGACGGAGGCCACCTTCCAGTTCAAACACAGTATCCTCGGTATCAGCCAGATCGATAAACTCCTCACCGTTCTCCAAATCAACCTCGACGATGTAGCTGAGTCTGGCCGAGGGATGCGGTCTCGGCTGCGGTGTCCATGTCACCACCAACGACGTCGGCGACGGTGACGCAGCCTTGACAGACAAGCTTGGCTTGAGAGGTGGGGGTGGGGGTGGAGGAGGAGGAGGCTCTGCCACAGCTGGTCCTCCTCCGTTTGAGCCCTTCCCCATGCCCCTCTCCTCCTTCACAAGGAAGCCGCGTCGCATGCCGTGTGCGAAACCCTTTTGGCGAGTGGCTCCCGCAAAAGTCGAGTGGTCGCCCTTGAGTCGTCGCCTCCCGCTTCGCCTCGTTCAACCTCAAGCAGCTTTCAAATACGGCGCGCTCTCATCCATGGGCGTCTCGTAGCCATAGTTGCGAGATCTTGATATATCTATCATTCCAGCACACACATAAGGACGACAAAGACGACGAAGATGAACAATACCGGTGTGATGACCGTGGCCCCGTGGCGTGTGTCCATCCATGTCCCGGCTACGTGACAGAGCGTGTACAACCAGATCATGCACCTATTGTCCGCACCGCAGCCATTGCCATTCCACTCCTTCCCCTCGACCAAGACCCACATCGGATGATCGCCTCCCGCCGGCTTTGATCTCGCAGCGCGTCAGCGAAGCGCCTGTGGGCCGCAAACAGGCACGACGGCGCGACGGCACGACGGGCTCAGGCTCTGGCTCAGGCTCGGACTTGGGCCTTCCAACTCGACTCGAGTCGGCCAGAGCGGGGGGGGGAAAGGATGCCGTCGCTCGTGGCGGTGGTAGCTGTGGGTACGGCGTCTGTCGTTGCCGGCGTGGTGGGCTTCTGGGCTGCTATGTCGCCGCCTGCGCCGTCGTTGGAGGACCCGCCCATGGAGCCGGAGCTGGCGCCGTCGTCACGGCTGGCTGTCCAAGATCGGGAGGGGGCATGGGCTGGCGAGGGCGAGGCTCGAATGGACGATGTGCCGTATCGGATTCTCTCACTCGACGGTGGCGGTGTCCGCGGCGTCTACACCGCTGTCCTCCTCCATCGTCTGGTCGAGGCCTGCCCGGAGCTACTCGACGCGGTGGACATGATCGCAGGCACGTCGACCGGTGGCCTTCTGGCATGCATGCTTGCGGCAGGCTACTCGCCGGCGCAGTGCCGCGACATCTATCTCAAAGAGTGCCCGTACATCTTCTCGTCGAGCTTGCTCCGGAGACTCTCGCCATTCAATGCCAAGTACGGATCGCAGCCCAAGAAGGCGATCATGGAAAAGTACCTCGGCGATACGACGCTCGGCGAGCTGTACAAGTATGTAGTGGTGACCGCGTTCAAGCTCGACGGCAAGCCGGCGCCCGGCGGCCTGCCGACCTTCTTTCCGCCTGGCAACTGGCGGCCGGCGCTGTTCTCCAACCTCCCGCTTGGCGACCGCGGCAAGGTACCGCCCGACAACCATGTGCGTGCGGTCGACGTCGCCATGCGGACGTCGGCGGCGCCGACTTACTTCCCCATGGCCAGCGGCTACGCCGACGGGGCCATCGTGACCAACAACCCGGCACTGATGGCCGTCTCCAAGGCCTTCTCCACCTTTGACGCCGCCCAGCCGGAGAACTGCCGGGTTCTTTCCATCGGCTCGGGTACCATTCTCTACTCGCTCGATGTCGACGCGTACCCAGACCTCGGGTACGTCGGCTTTGGCCCGTCGCTCTTTGACGTTCTCTTTGAGTCCAAGTCACTCGCCACCGAGATCAACGCCCGCCTCTTGCTGCAGAACTCATACCATCGCCTCGATCCTGTCCTCCCCTACCGCATCGCCCTCGACGACGTGACCGCCATGGACGATCTCGTCACTCTCGCCGAGGCTGTCGACCTCTCCGAGACCATCGAGTGGATTCGCGATAACTGGCTGTAGCAAGCCAGCAAGGGAGAACTACAGTGAAAACGGACAGGGTGTTTACCTCCTCGACACACTGCCGCCAGAGAAGACGGCAGTGCCAACGTGGGAGGAGCGCTTACTGGACGGAGAAGGCAAACTCGATGCAGGCGATCTCGTTGTTCTTCTGGTCGACGGCGGTGGCCTTGCCGGTGTACTTGCCAGACGGGGCCTCGGACGGAATCATCTCCGAGATGGAGAGAGTCTTGGACGCAAACGGCGCAATCGGGCACTTGTACGGGGTGTCGTTAAGGAGGGTGCAAAGGTCGTACGTGTGGTGCAGGAGGGTAATGATGCCGTACTTGACCTGGACGGTCACGGTCGAGCCGGTGTCAACAGGGTACGTCTTGGTGTCCGAGGCAGTCACAGTCAGGGTCACGTTCGAGCCCTTGTTCACAGTACCGCCCGACGGCGAGATGGTCACAGACTCGATCTGGGCGTCATCCGTCGACGCGCCGCAGTCGCACCAGCCCTGCGAGTTGGGCACTGTCACGTCCATCACCATCGCAGCCAAGACAAGCGTTGCATGAGTGAGACGACCCTCCTCTTTTCTAACACCTCCCCACACTCCATCACCTCCGATCCCCCCGCCACCACCCACACCATCACCAAGCACACGCTCTTTGCTTTCCATCCGTCTCTTCCTCACTAACCGGTGGTGGTCACACCTTCGTCTAGCAGGCCTTTTCTCCGCTCTTCCCCCTGCAGTGCCCGTCACTGAAAAAATATCGCACTGGCACGCGTGCCGCGACCTCCAGCAAAGGCCGGGAAGGAGAGCTGGTGGCCGTGGCGAACTGGACTACGTCCACCATCACCTCCTCCTCCATCTACAGACTCTCTGTCACACCCGATATGCCTCATTGCGTATGCTGTGGCAGCCCGTCTCTCGCAGCCTCAGTCTCTTCCTCCATCCCGTCTCGCACGTGACCCAAGGCGACAGGTGGAAGGGAAGGGGGCCCAGTGTTGGCCAAGAGTGGGTACGTACCAGGGTCGGAGGAGCACATGGGCACAGAGGCCATAGCAGTGGCAGCAAGCGCCACGAGGACAAGCACAACAAACAGCTTCATGTTGGTGGAAATTGAGATGTGTGGGGAGAGAATGCGTGGTCGGGAGGCTGGGGGGTGGCGGGGCGGGGTGTGGGGGGTGAGGGGGGGGGAGGGCGAGGGCGATCGATCGGTGGCGGCTGTTCGCGGAATTGGCATCGATGGCTGTGGGGAGATGATGAGGGTAGTCAGTA